TTTCACGGTGTATAATTTACCTTTTCATCATTACTGTTTCATTTGTCTGTTTGTTCATTTTTTGGTTTGTTGGTTTGTTCATTCATTCATTCAATCATTTATCATAGCTTTATTTTTCATTATTATTCTACAGTTGCACTTCAAATGCCTGAAGGATTGCTGTTGTTTGCTTGCACTATTGCTGACATCCTACAAAGGTACAGTTATATGCTGACATTTATAATTTATAATGTAGCCTGCCAATGTAATAAATAAAATCTGAATTACAAATTCTGAATTCTTTCTTACTGACCTCACATGTTAATCAGTATTTGCCACAGTTTGGAGCAGATAATGAGATAGAAAGACTGATTGAAATCCAGCTATCTAACGAAACTTGAGTCATCACATGCTATGGTGAACTAATACAAAGTGCAGTGTAGAAATAACATGATGAAATTTTATATATTATAAGTGTTTCACCGAACACTTCACAACTATGGTTTCAGAACTTCAATACTTTCTTTATTGACCATAACCTTTACATATTGATAACGTTCAGTTCGAAATCTAAGCGAAGGACAGTACAAAAGAAAAAAGCCTTGACACATTGTCTAAATTAATCGAGCTAACTGATACAAATGAAATTAAATGAAGGACGAACTTACCCGGTAGCATGTCTACTTTTGAGAATCTGGCGAAAGATTAAACTTATTCTTAACAGAGGTCCTTTTAAAACCTCACTTATGTAATTGAGATTAATAGAACAAAGATAAATGGTGCGCATGGGAATCACGATTACATAACTTTGCATAATGTTCGCACCGAAACAATAAGCTAGGAAGGAAGTATAGCATAATTTGTCATTTGTCACTAGCTGAAAGTGTCCCTGAAATGAACCTATGACCTTTGACGGATGCCAGTTAGAGGCTCTACCTCTAAGCTACAAAAAATAACACGTTTGTAACCATGTGTTTTCAGGTTTACAGGTTGTGATACAGTCATTATGGGTGATGTGACCTATGGCGCTTGTTGTGTCGATGACTACACTGCGACAGCTTTGGGTTGTGATCTCCTGGTGCATTATGGGCATAGTTGCTTGGTCCCTATCGATGCTATGACAGGCATTAAGATGCTTTATGTATTTGTGGATATTAAGATTGATATATCACATTTTGTGGATTCTGTAGGGTTTAATATTCCACTGGGATCTCGTCTTGCTCTCGTTAGTACTATACAATTTGTAGCAGCTCTCCAGGTGAGGTTATGGCCGACCCCTTGTCATTTTTCTGTGATCTCAAACTCTTCCAAGACTCTTTGGTTTTCTGAGTGGAAGTCATTTTCAGAGTCCAATGAGAAAACAAGATAACATTTTCTCACTGGACTCTGAAGATGACTTCTGCTCAGGTTGTCGAAACGTCAGTCACCACCAACAACAGTCTTTCTCAAGACTACACTCACCCGGACGTTCACACTTCACAACAAACTGTCAGTCACCACCAACAACAGTCTT